GTGCCCCTGCAATCCCGGGGAAGTCAGCAGAGGGCAGCCCTTCAGCGGCCAGGACTTTGCAGCCCTGAATCGAGTTCATTGCTGCACTGCTGGAACGTGCTCCCTTCACAGGTACAGGGAAGCCAACATTATGGAGCTGCTTATTGACAGTCTTGCTGACACCTCGAGCAGTGACACGAGTCAGTAGCCAAGGCAGGTGGCACTCAGGGAGTCACAGCAGTAGCTGTGAGTCCAAACGGCTCCTCGTGCCCTGTCCAGCCTTGCACCGTGTTCATAACTGCCCTGGTGCCACAGCTGGACTTCTGAGCACACCAGAGCTGCTGGCTGCACGTGTAGCAAAGGAGTGATGTCTGATCAGGTAACCCAAATACATAGTTTTTCCCTTGCTTTCACAGGAGGCAGAAGCTACATAAAGATCGTTGCGTAAGGAGTTCTTCACCTGTGGACCTGGAGCAGTCTGTGTCTTGGTGTCCTGGCTTGAGCCCAGAGGGCAACTGAGCATCACACAGCTGTTCACTCACACCTTCCCCTCTCAGGAATGGGAAGGAGAAAATGAAGCAGAAATGGCTCAGGAAGCCAGGTAAGGAGAGGGAGGGGTAGCTTGCCTGTTACCCTCATGGGCAAAGGAAAAGAAAACATTACTTTAATTCAAACACTAACAAAAGCAATACTTGGCAGACGAGGTCGGACAGTAAGAAGCACCACAACATCCAAAAGCACCTCTCCCCAGCCCTCCCTTCTCCCTGGGCTCAGCCCTGCTCCCCATCTCTCCCCCTCCTCCCCCAGCAGCGCAGGGGCAGGGGATGGGGGTTACAGACAGCTCACCGCTCCTTCCTTCTCGGGAGAGGGGGTGAATGCTGCACATTCCCCCCTGTTCCACATAGCTCCCCTCTCACTGGAGCCAGTCCTCCACCAACCCTCTCCACTGTGAGTCCTCCCCACAGGCTGCAGCCGTTCCTGAGCTGTCCCGGTGTGGGTCCCCCCAGCGTGTTGCAGCCCTGCCAGTGCCAAACCACGACAGTGGGGGCTGCTTCTCCCCTCAGAGTCCCGGCCTCCTTTAAGCACAGACGCCTGTCCTGGCATGGGCTCCTCCACAGGCTTCAGGTTGGCTTCTGCTCCACTGGTGACCTCCACGGGGGGCAGGGGGGTGGCCCTGCCCTCTCACCACGGGATACAGGGGGCTCTGCTCCAGCTCACCTCCACCCCTTCTTCTTTCCTTCCATTGACCTGGGTGTTCATCCTCATAACCCTTCTTCAGTGGTCCCGACCCCCTCCCAGGTTCCCCTTCTTAAATACATTACCCCAGAGGCACAATCACCATCACTAATGGGCTCAGCCCTGGCCAGAGGTGGGGCAGACTTGGAGCCGGGGGAGTTTCAAGAAGCTTCTCCCAGGGGCCACCGCTGTAACCCCCTCCCCTGCTACCAAAACCCCACCACAGAAACCCAGCACACTTGGCTTTGCTATCGAAAGGTGTATGTGCAGATGTGATAAGATTTTTTTTTTTTTAAATCTTGAAGTATTTGAAATACATTAAAACATCACAGCTGTATTTCACAGGAATTTGGAAGCTGAGAAACTGAAGATGTAATGTAATTTCTAATCCTCCCCCAGCAAAAAGTCATGTCTGGATCTGGGTTCCTGAGTCCTACAGATTTGCTGCAGGCCCCTACCCAGTGGCATGAAGTGCTGGGATTAATCCAAATCATTAAGTGTTTTTCTGGGATAGGCCCATTTCTAGGTGATAAAAAGGCCGGCAGATAACCAGTGAAGGCAGCGCCAAACAGGATTATTGTCTAATGATATTAAGTACCTTCAAACTTGGGTGGCTTGTGAAAAATAAAATCCTAAGCCTGCCACTAACCCTTCGACTTGTTTGGGATGTTTTCAGAGCTGGTCCAGGAGCCCCTCATACGTGGTTCCAGACCTCATGTCAGCTTCAGCTGCAGACAGACACTAGCCAAAAAAATGGATTCGTCCTTAATGCGTCCTCTGCGCTCTAGTGCTACTGGTAAGGGGGAAAGATTCCGCTCTCTGTCTCCCGTGATGTCCTCTGCAAATTTTGTTTTCGTGTAGTCAGTGCTGTCGGCCAGGCCTGGGAGGAGGCAGCAGGGGAGCTGTTTTGCTGGCGTGCGTCCCCACCGCTCAGCCCCTGCCCCGCCGGGCGGGGGGTGCCCCGATGCCTTGGTCTGGAGGCTGGAAGGGATGGGGTTAAGCATTGTAGCTTTCTAGGAAGTCGTGTAAAGGTGCGTGTGTCTCCTTTTGCAGTTACCTTGGGTTGCCTGACTGTGCTGTTTTCTCTGGGAATGTGAAGGTTTCTGTCGTGTGGCCTCATCTTTCACTTCCTTTCAAATCCTCTCCTTGGCTGCTGGCTGACGTAACCTGGACAGCTCTTTGCCCACGCCCTGATATTGTGGGGTTTCGCCATCAAGACACACAACACTGAAATTTTCACTGTTTTTCTAGTGTCATGTCATTAATTTCGTGTTTGCTGGTAAGGATGGTTTGGGTTTTTTTGAAGTTGATAGTTAAAGTCAAAAGCTGCTACAGGCTGGGTGTTGTGGATCACCCGAGTTCCCTTTTGCCTGTGAACTGCATATTGTTTCAGCAGATCTACTCTTTGGTTTTTGGTTGTTTTGTTTGTTTTTTTTTTTTTTTTCTGAGCTGATATTTATGTTTTATTGAAGTTTCCTTTTGGGTTGGGTGGGTCATAAAGCCTGGTCAGTAGCAGAGCACGTTTCAGTTGAAATTCAGTTCAGTTCCTCAGAAAAAGGAATTCTCTGCCTGATCTCAGTGAGTAGAGGGTAGACAGACAAAGGGAGTGGGAAGAGCTGCCTGGCCTAAAGACAGCCTGCGGCAAAGACTCTTTCTTTCTTCAGAGAATCTGGTGTTCATGGCTGTTCCTGGGCTTCCAGTAAATGGATGTACCAGGGAAAAGGGCAATCGATCCGTCAGCTGGAGAGCCTGGTGCTCAGGGCTCTTGATTTGGATCTGCTAAAGGCAAAAGAGAAGCTGCACTTTTGTACGTGGGGAGAAAATGGAAGTGATTTTAGTGATGCGCCCGTTTTAGAAAGGCCCGGGATCAAAATGACATCAGGGACCTCAAGGCTCTAGTCTCCACGAAGAGGTGAAATGTTTGCACAGTTGAGTCAGCAAGTTCCCAGTGGCAGGCTGACTTCAAGAAAGTTTGGTTACCTGAGGCAGTGCCATCCCTCAGCACCTCCAATGCCCCTGCGTGTCCTTGGGTGCCTTTCTTATGCTGATAAACCCTCACTGGCCTTTCTTCCCCTCTGAAAAAGGAGACAGAACCCACAATCCTTGCAACCTTGTGTTTGTCCTGTCACAGCGGTGCTGTGGCAACTGTTGTCTTGCCTTTGTATTCCTTCTGCTTGAGACTTTTATTCTGATGTTTGGTCTTCTTCAGAGGGAGTCACAGCTTTCTGCATTTTGTTTTCATGTGATGCGTCCTTCCCATTGCTTCTGTTTTCCTTTTGTTTTCATGCTTAGCTCCAAAAAACAGCCTCACTGTTCACTGGTCTTTCATGGCTGCTTAGCTCAGTCGAGTGGGATGCTGACGGGCAGCTGATCAGACGCAGCCCCTTGCCGGCACCGAACCACGCTCACAACCTTAGCAGGAACTTTTTGCTTCAGATAAACAAGGGGTGGGTGCTCCCGGGATGGGTTTGTTTCTTGTCACAGGACTCTTCAACCCTTTGGCAAGCTCGGCAGTTCTCAGAGCTGTTCCCAAGGCAGCAAAGGGAAGGCAGAAGTGGCCCTGGCGTCAGCGCTGGCCTCTGATGGGTGGCTGTGTGCTGGCTTGTGCTCTCCCGCAGAGCCCAGCCTGCTCCGAGAACCCCAGGGGCCAGGGGCTGCCCCGTTCCGGGAGAAGCATCACGGAGTTACCCGTCCTCTCACGGCCAGGTGAAGGAGACCTGATGATTTTCCTTACCAGTATAGCCGCAGCCCAGCTCATCACCGTGCAGATGCTGGGGCTGCCTGGTGTGCCAATTTGAAGTGGCTGGTAAAATCTCTGCGAGAATGGGCATGGGTGTGGGGATAAGGAAGTGAACCTCAGTGCACTGCAGCTGGAACTGTGCGTCATAACGGGTTTTTTGCTTCTTAATTTAGACAGATTTGGAAAAGCTTTGTGTTTGTGAAAATGCTAGTTTTCTGGCTCATAAACTCTCACTTTTTTTTTTTTTTTTTTTTTTTTTACTGTCCCTCATCTAATAGGTATTTGATAATTAAACTTTTAGATTTGTTTTGCCCCTGGTATAAAAAATCAGAGCAATATTTATTATGAAATGGTGTCTGCTTGCCCCTTCAGTGAACTGCTAAAAAGCAGAATAATAACGGGCTTGCATGCTTTAGAAGTCACAAATAACATATTGGATGGTTTGGGTCATAATGGCTGTATTCATTACCCCCTACACATTGGCTCTTACAATTGAGACCGTTTCTCTATATGTTGTGTGACTTACAGCATGCCTGTAATTCCGATCAGCTCCTCTTTCAGCAGGCACATGGCCCTGTATGTGTAAATTCCTCAAGAGCGGAACGGCTATATGGCCACCCCACCCCATTGAGTGGAAGACCTAGCACACAAAAAAAAAAAAAAAATCAGGGGGAAAAAAGAAAAAAAAAGATTTAAAAGTAAGGCTTTAACGTACAAAGCATAAAGGAGCAAGGGTTCTTTCTGCCTTTATTTCAGAATCACCGTGGTTAAAACCAGCGTATGATGCTCAAGTAACGAGGGATGCGCTTGAGGAGCCTTCCTCCCCCTCCTCGCTCGCTGCTTTTTTTGAGACCCTGGGCTCACGCTCTCCAGCACCCAAGCAACCCCCCTTCCCCCCCCCCCCCCCCGCCGGGTGCCGGGCCCGGGGCGGGGGCGGCACCTGCTGCGGGGACAAAGCGGGGCCGGCGCGGGGCCCGCCCCGGCCCCGCCCCCGGCCCGGCCCGGCCCCGCCGCGCCCGCCGGCGGGGAGGCAGCGGCTCGGCTCGGCTCGGCTCGGCTCGGCTCGGCGCGGCTCGGCTCGGCGCGGCCCCGGCCGTGTCGCCATGTCGGAAGTGAGGAAGTTCACCAAGCGGCTCAGCAAGCCGGGCACGGCCGCCGAGCTGCGGCAGAGCGTCTCGGAGGCGGTGCGAGGCTCCTTCGTCCTGGTGAGTGCCGGGAGCGGAGGCTGGGCTCGGCTCGGCTCGGCTCGGCTGGGCTCGGCTCGGCTCGGTTCGGCTCGGGACGGGGCAGAGTTGGGCCGGGGATGCGCAAAGCGGGGGAAGAGGAAGGGGCTGGGGAAAGGGCAGAGCGGGGGATGCGCGGGGCACGGCTGGGCGGGGGAGTGGGAAGCGCCGGGCAGGGCGCGGCTGAGCAAGGCAAGGGGATGGGGAAGGGCAGAATTCCCAATTTGGGGGGGGGGGGGTGCGTCCCCCCGCCTCTCGCCGGGCCGGGGTGTGTGGCGCCGTCCCGCCTTGCTCGCCCCCTGCCCTCCCCGGGGGGGGGGGAACCGGCACGGCCGCCGCCGGGGGTTGGCTGGTGCTTGTGCGGCGGGAGCGGGAGGTAACGGGGCGCTGCCAGCGCGGATCGAGCAAACGGGTGACGGGAGCTCACCCTGCCCCGGGCACGGGCAGCCTGAAAGCGGCGAATAACCAGGGCCGGCCTGAAGGGCACGGCCTGGCACGGAGAGGGGCAGGGGCATTGGCGTGAGGTGGGTGTATCCCGGGAATCCGGTCTCGGTCACACGCATTAGCCAGATGCAATTCCATCCCGGCGTGCGGGATGCTGCAGCAGGTTGTCTTTGTTGTGCTGGCGGCCGTGCAAAGGTTGGCGGCGGCGCCCCGGGGTCAGGTCGGAGCTCCCCTGGGCTGTTGGATGTGTTTCGGTGTTGCTGGTTGAATTACTCTTGCGTGTAATCAACTCTGACCTTGACTTTGGTGGAAGGTTAGTCAATGGGATGTGCAGAAAGTGCTGTACAAGTTCAGCGTGGATAATTCTCCCCGGTTCTCTACTATCAAATTAAATGACGTGTGTTGTTAAGCAAATGGAGGGGTTTAAACAATTTTTTAAAAACAGAGTTTTCATGTAAATTTACTGATTTCTAAAGCTGGAAAAAAAACATGGTGATAATCCACTCTGATTTCCTAGCGCCATGGCTATTGCTTCCTATGCGCAGTTGTTCCGGGATCCTTCCAGGCTCCCTTGTGATTTGCTTTCCCTATTTTACCAACAACACAGAGGGATAAATATTTTGCACAAGCTGATGGAACCTCTCATTAAAAATGAAATTGTTTTTATAGGACCTGAAGACCTTTGGTATCCTACAGGCAAATAGTTACTCGGTGCCTGTGCCAGGTGTCTTCTGTTAGAAAGGGGAGGGATGGGTGGGACTGCAGATGAAAATAAATAAAACCTTGACAGCAGCCCAAGGGAGCTGGCAGAGTCCAGCATCTATCAGCAGCCACTCTCTTTCTGATCCCCTCTAGGGTTTCATTGCCCACACTGTCCCTGCCAACTTCGCCCTCTTTGTGACAGGCAAATCCCCCGGAGCTGCTGTGCTGCTTGGTGTGTTTGCAGCCAAGCGCCGGAGGAGGGTGAGGGCAGGTGTCTCTGATCCCTGGATCTTGGCAGCGTTTCCTTCTTTCGACAGTTCGGCAGCAAGGGATGAATCCCAGCACTTCTGCAGCACTGGGAAGAGCCGTAAGACACTGCAGTGTTCAGGGAGTGGGGAAGGAGGGGGCATAAGCTTTTACGACTGTCTCAGGTGGCACTTGGGCAGCCCTCAGCGATTGAGGATGAGGTTCATGCCTTCCAGGTTGCTCCAAGAGAAGTGTGGTACCTTCCCATCTACCAGGTCATCATCCTTGCATGGAAGGGATGTCTGTGAGCTGGCTGCCGGGAGGGTGGAGAGAGCATCCCGGGAACTGATGAGGGGGAGGCTGAAAAGCCATAATTTCTGATCCTGCTCCCAAGCCACGGCTCAGCCTTGGTGCTGATGAGCTGGGCAGCTGCAGAGCGTGGCGTGAGCGCATGGCCAACCAGTCTGCCCCCTCCTCAGCAAGGGGAGACCCAAGGCCCCAGGGTCAGGTGTGTGCTGTAGGCTCAGCTGTGCCTCACCCCCGGGGCAGCGCCGAGCCCACTGGTGCCCCTGGGAGGCAGTGGGCGGTTGATGGGGACAAGAGGAGCAGGGGCTGGCAGTTGGTAAATGGATGGAGCAGGTCCCGGGGTGTTGGGAGCTGGGGCTTTCTGTCAGTCTGGAGCAGACTGGAGTCACACTAGGGACCTTGCTTAGCAGGGTCCCATCCCCTTCCTGCAGCCCGGACACAGCAGGTGATGTTAAGTCAATAAAAGCACGTGAATAGTTTAATACTCCCCAGGGAACAGCCTGCCTGTCCCTCCGTGATCCCCTCTGCTTGCCTCGGGGCAATTGTAGCTGAAACCATGGGTATCTGTGGTGGTGAGCATGGATGAGATGAAGGGGTGGGGACCAGAGCATGCGACTTCATCTGCAGGAGGAGTGGGCACTGTAAGGCTCTTTCAGTGCGTAGATTGAGCTCGGCATTTTGGGCATTCAAGGCACTCCCTCGAGACAAAGAGCTGTCTGGAGTAAGAAGCCATTTGTAGTCAGTCAGTGAATGAAATACTCTAGTAAATGAAAATGCCTCAGTGAGGAAAGCTTTTAACGTCATGGAAGTGGTCAGCTTGTCTGGAAACATAATTTGTGCGTTAAAGGAGACGCGTCTCCAGCCAGGAGCACTGTGCTCCCGCACAGCCAGCCCGCGCGAGTGTGATGTCTGGTATCCTGCATGTGCAGTAAAGCTCACGTGGTCCTTACTTCTGTTCCTGGTTTTCCATTTATGCTTGTCTAGTGCCTTGAGAATATTTACACTTCCCATTGGTTTCCAAAGCCAGAGTGAAGTTGGTGGGAGTTTGGTTGGTGACTTCTGGCAGGGCTTTGCTCCTTTGTGCTTGTGGAAGGGAAGTGTTGGGTACGGTGGTGGTCGGACACCAGCAGCAAAGGGAGGTTGTCCCTTCCCGAGGTGTCCTGGGGTGCCCGTGTCCTGCCCTTTGCACCAGCTGGTAGGCTGCAGTCAGTGCTGCTCCTGCCGTGGTGTAAATGGAGCTGTAATCCAGAGCTGTAGCAGTGGAAGTAAGCATAGACTGTGGTGGGGAGCTCAGAGATACTTTGTGCCCCATCGATGAGGAAGGATGCAGCGCAGCTTTCACTTGGGGCTCTTTTGTTTCCTCTTACTGCGCTGGGGTTGCCAGCGTCACGGCTGTCGTTCTGGCCTTGCATCACGCTCACAGACGGCCTGCGTAAGGGAGGTCTTGGCGAGGAAGAAGAGTTCAGCGGGAATCCCTTGAAAGCTTGCACAGCCCTGAGGAGTGGAGTTAGGAGCGCCGAGGGTGCCGCAGGCAGCCAGGGTATGTGGGAACCCTGGTTCTCTCTGGGCACTTTTCTTTGCAAAGCTGTAGGGCAGATTGTATCAATTTCAGCTTCGAATGGTTCCTGATGTGTGCTGCTGATTATAACTCTTGGATGGAGTTCTGGCAGAGTAACTGACAAACAAGGTCACTGGTTAAATAGGCAAATTTAGTAGAACCATTAAGTTGGCAGGTGGGATCAATAGCACGCTAAGAGATGAAGGAAAATTTTAACATTAGGTTAAAGAGTGGAACAGTCAAAGCCTAAGTGCGATAACTTAAACCATTCTTAACTAAGAGGTTTATCTGCAGCTTAAACCTCAGGGCAGCAACAGTAAGATACCGTGTTAGAAGTGCATCTTCAGAGCTGGAGAACAAAGTGCTGATGATGCCTGGGAGAGCCACCTAGGCTAGACCTCAAGGAGAGCAGCCGGGGACCTTTGGCAGTGGGTGGGCATGGGTGATTTTTGGCTCAGACCTTCCGTGCCATCTCCCTCCTCCCGCTCTCTCCACACGCAGGACGCTGCAGGAGAACCCTGCGCCGAGGTGGGGCCCGGGCAGCGGCGGGAGCGCTGCGAGACGGGGCGCGGGCGTGCTCGGGGGTGCAGTCCCCTGGTCTGGCGGGGGTCCTGTGCACCTCTCCTGCGCCCCAGCCTTGCTTTTCCCCCCTGGAAGCGTTGCGGGGTGTCGTACGGTTGAGCAGCCGAAGAGCACACACCCGTTTCCCTGCGTGGATGTAAGGCTGAGGCTGAGCCACAGCGATGTGCTGAGCGGCGGCGGGGCCCGCGTGAGGAGAGGGCTGTGTCTCAGGCCAGTTGCAAGTTTTCCAAAGGTGTCACACTCTCTGTGTCGTGACAGAGAAGCAAAACGTGTGGGAGACGTGAGATCAGAGGAACAAGCACTTGACAAAACCCAGACAATCCATTTTCCCACAGTGCTGCCAAAACTAGTCATCTGGTGGCAATTTGAAGTCTCCCACAATTACTCTGATTTTCTTTAGGTCATTTCTATATAGATTAACTGAAGATACATTTACTGCTTCGCCATAGAGATTTACAAAGGATGCAGACCCAGAGCATCCTGTCTGAGAAGGAGCAGCTGCAAAGGGTTTGCCCATGCTGAGTGTCAGCCAGCCCAGTGGTGCACCCCAAGGCACAGCCTGGGAGCACCCAGGCACACTCACAGCTCTCTGCCAGCACATGAACACCCAGCAACTGCAGGGTGGGAGAACCTCTGCTTGCAAACTGCATCGATTCCTGCGTGCAGAGGCATTCCACCCGCGGGCCTGCTCTCCGGCGCTACAGAGTGCTGTGGGATGTGCTCCCTGAAATCTCACTGTGAGACCATGGGCAGCATGCCAGGAGAAGATGGGTTTTGTTTGATCCTGGCTGGGCTGGGCTTGTATGGGTGGCTTGGTTTCAGGCAGACGCAAAAAAAGGAGATAGAAAGCTCCTTAACAGTGGTATTAATAAGGTTTTGACTGGAGGCAAAAAGGCATTTTGTTCTTTCTGTGTTGTTTTTTTTTTTTCAGCTTAAACCATATTATTAGTGTCTGAATTTATACTCATGCAGAAGAAATCAGCTTTCTGCATAGAATCCTCTTTTAATAAGCTGAACTCTCTTTGATCAATGTGAAGACTGTTTATACGCAGCGTTTGTAGTGATCTTGGTGCTCAAGGGAGACACAGAATATATGCATGTTCCCCCCTCCGGTGTAGTCAGTATGCTGTGTTTGCATAACTTA